GTTAACATTTAAAAATGTTTTATTAACATTTGAGATCTCATTATCCATTTTCATAATAAATAGATGTTAAATATGATACATGGCAACTCTACAATAGTGCAATTGTAATTCATTTTTATAACAAGAGATATTAGTGTGTGTATTTGCAAAAATAGAAATGGATTATAATTATTTTAAACAGAAAAATATGTATTTTTTTAATAAAGATGTAATTTATTTTTAAAAAAATTAGATAAGTTAAATTTTAGAGATTCGTTACATTCTTATGGGATTTGAGATGTATTTTTGTAACGTTACCAATTAGTTGGTATGTCATGTTATCAAGGTTCATCAAGCTTAAAACAAATATTCTTTGCTTGTTTAAAGCTAAGATTTACAGGCACTTATAAGTATATTTACATAAATCGAGATATTTTTTTATATACTTATTTCATATTCTGTAAATTACATTTTAAGCCATTTTAAACAAGCATGCAAGCCATTCTTCTTCTTCATAATGTCCACTTTAGAGGATACATAGCTCAGGCTTCTATATTCTATAAAGTGGACATATATGTTGCCAATCAATATTTCTTATCACAGTTTACTAATTTTAGTTTCAATTCAGTTTTCTTCTTATGAGTTAGTGTATTTTCATTTTTCCTTTTATTTAAAGGAAAAAAAATTACAATCCAAATAGATGGTTGTACATTTGTCTTAGGGCAAACTTTGATCTTCTAGTATATGTATACATATATGTCTCAAAATCTTCTATGAATTTGAAGTGTGAACTTGATAGGCCTAAAAGGATTAAGGTGTAATTTTAACAATAAAGTTTTTTCACTAAGAGTATCTAGCACTATTAAGTTTTGATGGGTGCAAAATTATACACAATTTTTAAAAAACAGGGCAATTTTACCACTACGTTAACTATATCAAACGTCTGTCACCTTTTAGTTTGGTGGGTCCCACATTTGTACACGTTTCCTCTGCTTTCCCCTTCCCTTTGCCTCTATCTCTCCCTTGTCTCTCTCCAACTCTCTCTCTCTATCTCTCCCGTCCCCTGATGCACTTGTTTTTCTTATTTTCTATCTTTCCATCTCCTGTCTCCCTCCCAACTTTCTTGTCCAATAACAACAGATGCCAAGCAGTCAAAACAAATCCCAACCATAAACAATTTTTAATGGTCTTCCTCACACCAAATACAAAACATAGGACTCTCTTTCACAGAAGGAAATTTCTCTCAATAAAGAACGCAATTTAGGTCCTTTTCAACTTACCCAGCACGTCCTCTACAACTTGGAGCTTAATGAATGAAGCTAATTAATTCAAGAATTATGGCAGTCCAGGCAAATTAATTCCAAACAATTGGAGGCCTAACCATCTTTCTAAAAACTATCCTTTGATCATTCCTTCCAACTGCATCAACCAAGCTGATTCCGTTGACTTTTCTCCCTCGTCTCATCAAACAAGCTCAATAAAATGTGGTCAGCTGCCTCCCAACTGGTCAGACCACATAGCATCTCATTTCCTTGCCTTGCCTTCTTTGTTCGCAAAGTCGATGGCCTCCAATGTCGATGCCTCTGTCTTCTTTTCAGATCCATCAAATACAATAGTACACACTCTCCCCCCTCAAGGTTCTCATGGAGAACAATCATTTGGTTCTTGAATTCTAAGTTGCCATTGCCGAAGGAAGAGGAGAAGAATTTGCAAAGGGGAGAGAGAGAGAGAGAGAATTGAGTCTGATGTGTTTTGGGGGGGAGGAATTGATGCAAAGAGAAGGAGGAGGAGAGATAAAATTTAAAAGGGTGATGTGTAATGTTTTTAGTGGAAGGATTATGCTAAGCCAGACACATAGTGGGACCAACTCAAAAAAAGAAATAGTCGTCTAGACTTGTTAATAGAAGTGTTGAAATTGCTACATATTTTAAAGTTTGTGTATAATTTTGCACCCTTCAAAACTTAATGGTGCCAGATGCTCTTAGCGAAAAACTTTATTATTAAAACTGCACATTAACCCAAAAGGTATTTGCAAGTTTCAAATGAACCATATTCATAAGACTATCTTTTCCAAAATCCAAGTGCGGTAACAACAATTTGCCATTCTTTGCAAATAAGATGAGTCATCAGTCATCAACAACAACAAAATTCTGTTTATATGATCTTCTGCAAGGCAACAAGTATTACCATGAAGATAGGAGAAATAATAAAGGGTAGTTAGACTTGTTTTCTATAAAAGCATCAAAATAATTATGGTAGCCTGTGTTCAATGAAAATGGAGATCCTGTTGTCACCTTCATTTCCCCAGCTTGCCAGGTTTTAAGATTTAACCCATCATGCATGGCAACAAGTATATGAAAACAAATGGTCTCCTATTTTTATGCTAGGCTTAGGCAGAGAAGTCAGAGAATGTTAATATGCGCATTGTCAAATATTATTTAATTATAACCTTTCTTGGAATTTGAATCAAGCCCAGGGGATTCACCACACATGGATCCTCTCTTGAACCCTAGCTATTATCGTCAATTATAAACCTGATAACTTATTGATCCTAAAGCTCTTTAGAGGATTCTACTTTTCTCATTTCATGTCCATGACCTATTGCTGTTGGTTTTGCTTCATGTTCCTCTACATTGGTGTAGATTTCGATAAAATCCACTTCTGCATCATCACATGCAGAATTGTCGTCATTGACAATCTGCTCAATACCAAAAATTTTCTTTTGAAGGGCACCTTTAATCTTTGAAGGCTTAGTCTTGCTTCATGTTCATGCTCTTCTGGGTCTTAAAAATTACTTCTCCTTTCCCACAAGAAGCTCTTCAGTGGAGGCAAAGGAGCATGCTGATAACCATTAAGAGAGCAAATTGTACATGGGCAAACCTTGATTGAAGTTCTCTCTGACTTAGTAACCGGCGGATTAGGCATCGGGCATTTGGGTGACAAAGTACTTCAAAGTTGAAAAACGCGTAGTTCTCGATGCAAGCAGGGCTACTTCAAAGGATTTTCTTGGTCATTGTAATCTCAACTAAATTCCTAGTTATGACAGGCAGTTGAAATCTACTAGGACTACCATGAGATGGGAAAACGCAATATAACAAGAAATTCATATCCAATAGATAATTATGTGATATTATGCTATCACAAGTACTTGTAGATTTTTGGTATACAGTATCAGCATTTAGTGACCATGTAATTCTTAATATTCAAACTCTCTAGTTTTATTGGCCTTATATCGGAATTTTATCATTGTACAACAAATAAAAATCAATTGAAGTCCTCATCTGATGCGTTGTCAAAACTGCTATTTCATTTTGAACTTCTCAAATTTTGACAACTCCACCAACTTGTTCCACTTCCCACGGCTTAGATTATATCTCTTTGATGGTAAAGATTTTATTGTTTGAATGAAATCCATCAAGGCCTTGAGAAATCTTCCTTAAACCATAGGTAACATAACCTGTATTAAGGTCACCTGCCAAGTCCGTGTTTTATGCCTTTTTCCAATGTTCATGCTCCGAAGGAAGCTCGAGAGTGCTACTAATACGAAGAGGAATTCATGCCCAAATAAAATATTTGTCATAGTCGTGGTCGAAAACCAGAATCAATAAATGCTTGTATAGACATGCACCCACCGGTTGACTTAGGTGAATGAGAATTTAGGCAAATTCTGAATGAATTTTCTTTAAAGCTATAAATTAAAAATAAATATATAAGAGGAGTTGCTAAGTTGTTTTAAACAACTAATTACTCTGCTTTGAATGAATCACTTCATTATTAATACTATAATCTTGCATTCTGCTAGAATCGCGTGCGTGCGTGTATTTATATACTTAGTAAAATGCTGTGAATATCTCATTTGTAACAGTTTCATAGCGAAGTTGCAATCAATAAAATATTATTTTTAAAATGAAGTTCTTCTGGCAAAATGATTTATACAAGAGAAGTGCTTGAACATGAAGAGGAGATGAGGTAAGAAAATCAAACAGCATATAAAAATCTGGACACAAATTTGAAGTTTAATTGAGAAGGTAATCACGTTTTTACTATCCGCAAGGATGACACCAGTAAGCTATCTAAGCAGCAGCGATGCCCTTTAAGGCCTTCACACCCTAATGCAATCCCAAACAGCTAGAATTTTACTCAGGAAAGAAGGGAAGTTATTGCTTACAATATCTACTCAAAAACTCAACTTTTAAAAGAACATATACTGCAAGACCAATAGAAACTCAGAACGTGAAGAATATAGGTTTTCAGCAACATTGAAAGCACACCATCTTCTTGGCAATCTATTTCATGGGAGTTGTATTTTTGAATGAAAACTGAGTAATTGAAGGGCTATCTTGCTCTATCATGATATATCTTTAAGCAACGGATGTGCTATCTTGCTCCTGATGTTAAGGGAAAAGGAGGTGACCTTCATTAGAAATTGGACTATATGAGGAGAAGAGTCTTATGTTCAGTAGACACAATATGAGAGCTTGTCAAACAAAAGAAAAGTGAATCAGTCTCTGTTTGCATAATGCTCTTAAGATTTTTTCATTGGGATCTCAAAATGCATGGAATTCATTTAATGGACTCATGATATATTTTGTTTTTATAACTAACAAGTAAACATAACTATTTGAAAGATCTGGGATGTAGGGACATGCAAGAAAAATCTTATGCTTTGACACTCTAATAGTATCATGTTTATGTATCGGACTTATCCCTTTGGCATCACCCAAAAGAATAATAAAAAACAGTACATACATGACTATAAATGTATGTTATGTGTTTGTAAATTCTAGCATAAGGGTAGATAAGTTAGGTGCAATGCCGTTAGTTAGTTAACAAACTAGCCATTATTAATACAAACATCAAATATGTGTACTCCTATGATTGGGTAGAAATGCAAATCTCAGTCTATCTCGTCCCTTTGTTCTCTCTTTTATCTTCCTTCATTTCCACTCTTTCCCTCTTTCTCATACTTCCAATATTAAAGAAGTATAACAGTTGCAGTGTACCTTTGTGAAGCTGGTGCAATTTGTGGTTGATACAATCATCAAGTGCTCACTTTCAGACGATGTTCTGTCGATATGACCATCTAAAAACCTGCGTTACGCAATCTTTAGGATAGATAGTATGTATGAAGTACAATTGGTAATCAGCGAGTAAAAGATCAATGTAACCTGAATAAGAACAGCTCTACACACTAGAGTCTAGTCTGAACGGGCTCTGGAGTTTGGACTTGTTGCCCCATTAAACTCGCTTCTCCCAACTTTCAAATTCAACAGCAACGGAAACCAAGTTAATTTGGGTGAATTTCACCAACCAAAGCTCATGAACCACATCACAATCACTCTTTTTATTAAACAGTTGAGTTAAATTGAGTTTGGTTAAAAAGAGTTCATAATATTTAAGGACTAAATCCCTTTTACAAATAATAAATTTCTCTTAGATTGAAACTAGAACTAGAATTGCATCTTTTCATCTGCTTTTAGTAAAATTAAAAAAAAAATGTCGTATTGGGACACAACAAGATAATATGCTTGATAGGCAAATCATATTATTTCTTTTTGTTCAATTTTAAACCGAAGTTCTTCTCTAATGCATGATATAGGACCAATTGTTTCCTAATAAAATTTGAAGTGTATGACAGGAGAAAAAAGAGCTTATTATTTAAAGAAAATCATGTTCATTCTGCGCAGTGCTGCTATCTTTCATATCTACAAAAAGGAAAATAAAAATTCAAATAATCAAGTAAATCTATAAATAAATCGGTGCAAAAATAGAGGCACGTTTCTATGATTTGAAGTTCGAACAAAATCAACATGAGTATGGAAAAGTTGAGTAAAATTGAGTTTGGCTGACAAAAATTCATAAGATGTGATGACTAAAAAGATTTGATATCATAACAAGATTATATACAGAATAAACAAATGATATTATTTCTTGTGCGTCAAATTTTACGATGAATTTTTTCCTCTTAGGGCATGGTGTCAGACTCTTGTATGACAAACACAAAAACAGAGCTATTATTGGTATCTAAAAATATGGGAAACAATATACTCCATTAAACCTGGTCAAAATAATATATGATTTGAAATCTATGACAAGTGAATTATTTGCGAATTGTGAATCATTGGGCACATTCTTTGGATAACATTCAAATGCATGAATCTTTCAATCTAAAACAAATGGCCAAAAGAAAGGAAAATATGTTCATGATTTGACATTTAGAAAGGGACTAAATATATACCTAATGAGTGAACGGATAGCAGAAGAACTGATGCCATCATCAGTGAGAAGCTCACTTAAAGTTGCTACTGCATCATCTTCAGTGCTAACAAAAGGAATGCAAGAAACCTTTGCCCAATATTTTCCTTTCTGCCTTTGGATATGCTTTTTGAGCAAGGGATAGCCCCTGATCCTTAGTTGACAAAGGGAACCAGGCAAACCCTCCTTTGGAAAGTATTGGAGTTTAGGACAGCCACAAAATCCCAAGAGTTCCAAAGAGGTTAAGTGGCAAAGACCTTTGTGTTCCAATGATCTAAGATTGGGGCAGTTATGGAACAGAAGGCAAATAAGAGAAGGTGGAAGTAGTCCAATATCAGGAAGAGACTCATCATCTGTATCTCCAATATGTATGAAATGTAGTGATGTAAGGCTACCTAGATGCCATCCCATTCGAGAGGCTATGAGTTTCGGGCATTCTAAGACCTCAAGATATTTGAGATTTCATGGGAAACCTCCTCCTGAAAATGATTCCACTAGCGGACAGCATTTTATTAACAGATATGTGAGGGAGTAAAAGAGAATGTGCATGTTCTCTGGGAGCGATTTCAAATTCTTCAATGCAACAAAATTCTAGTTTGGGGGCCAAAAACCCTCCTTCAGGGAAAAATCCAAATTTAGGACACTTTCGTATGTACAAGCTTGTAAGAGAATAATGGTGCCCCTCTAAAACAGATATCATTTCAAGATTATTACAGTCAATCAACTTCAATGATTGAAGCTTTGGAAATAAATCTAGTGGAAACGACTTAAGAGAGTCACAGCTTCCTCTTATATCCATTTCAAGGACGAAGTTATGACAAGATCTCAATGGGAATTCTAGGTGAGGACAATCGAAAAACTTCAACTCTTCAAGGCTATAATTGGCAATGAAATTTTCAATTTTGTCACTGATAATAATTTTTCGAAGCATCCAGAAATCTCAAGGACTCTTAGAGCTGATGGAAGACTTTCCAATTGCTCGTTTCTGCAATCTTTTAGAACCAGTTTATCAAGAGATGAAACCATGGAATTGAAGACAAAAGCTTCTCACAATTGGAAATTACTAGCATCCTTAAAGAAGGAAGTTGTTGAGGAAGTTCCCCTTTCAATTTGGGACAATTTTCTACACTCAACTCTTGAAGATGAGGGAAAGTAAGAGACAAAATTTCACATTTCCATTCTTCCCAGGCCTTCATATCTCCAAACCTCAGGATTTCTAGGGATGAAGCATTAGAGCTATTTCCACAAAATTCTGGACCAATAGCTACTATGCTATGAAACCCTATAATTGACAATGACTTGAGAGATGGAAAGAGGCCAATTGATGGCAAGGATCTACAGTACTTGCAATGCCTTAGCTCTAGGGACACTAAATTGGACAACAAATGATTAGCAAGCCAATTTGGAAACTCGATAGCACCATAGTTTCCAATTGATAGCTTTTCCAAATTTTGATGAGGTTGGAAGTTCTCCAGCACATCCTTGTCATGGTGTGATTTTCTATTGTCTATGCACCATTCCAATGTTAACTCCTTAAGGTGTATCTTGCTTCTCAAATTGACTGCTAAAGCATGTGAGGGAGAAACTATATTCTGCAATTCCAAGATGGAAACTAATCCATGAAGATTAAGTCCTTCTAAATGTTTGATGTTTGTCTCTCCAGATTTGTCTATAATAAATGGTGACAGAACTTGAAGATTTTTCAATGTATCCAATTGCTTTGGCATCTCTCTCACCTGAGTTTCACGAAAATCAAGGTGACACAGATTTATGAGTTTATGAAAATTTGTTGGCAATTTTTCCAAAAGACGACAACGCCACAACTTTAATGTTTGCAAACGATGAAGTTGACATATTGAATCAGGCAACTTCCTTATTCTAGTTCCTGATAAGTCCAAATAACGTAGATGTTTCATATTTCCTATTGATTCAAGAATCTCCAAGATGATATGATCACACAAAGATAAAACTCGCATGCAAATAAACTTGGATGGCAAATCATTAATAACCTTGTGAGATATGAAGTGACTAATAGAGGTATAGCCTGTACTTCTATGACCCTGCATGAATAGAGGCAAGAATGTGCGCAACTTATTAGCCTAGTATGTAACCTCAAATCGTTTGGATGGATCAACATCGTTTCTCAAAAATGAAATATGCCGGGTCATTTTTGTCAAATTATTTACATCATCTACCTCCAACCTGTGGCTAAACTTTCCATATTCAACTTTTGCCATATCATTAATAAGGTCATGCATGACAAAACGGGTTTCATCTATTGTTGATCGTTGAAAAAGTGACCTCAACAACAGGTCATGAAAGAATTGTTCTCCTACTTCTCTCCCATCTTTGCTTTGATGAGCACATGTCAGAAAATTTTCTGCCATCCACAATTGAATTAAATGCTCCTTATCAAAATCATAATCTTTGGGAAATATTGAACAATAAGCAAAGCATCTTTTCAGATGAGAGGGCAGGTAGCAATAACTCAATCTCAAAGCAGGGAGAATCTTGCTATCCTTTTTTCCTCCCAAATCTCACTTTTCAAAATGCCATTCCACCTCTCATGAGATGATTCTGTGTACAAGAGGCTCCCAATGGCTTTTAAAGCTAAAGGCAGTCCTTTGCATTTTTTACTTATTTTTCCACCAATTTCTTCAAGGTCAGAGTTTGAACAAAGAATATTTCCATCATGGAAGGCATATTTGCTAAACAATGACCAACTATCTCCTTCCGATAAGGGCTTCAATGAAAGTATCTTAGTAGAACGCATGGTCGAAGCAACTTTTCCACTGCGAGTGGTTAGAAGAATTTTGCTTCCCAAAGCCCCATGATTAAATGGTGATTGCAAGGCCTCCCATAGCATATAATTTTCATTCCACATGTCGTCTAAAACAAGGAGAAATCTCTTTTGAGTTAGTTGTTGTTTCAATTTAATTTGAAGCATATTTAAATCATTAGTATCATACTTATATCTAGTGATTGCCTCATAAACTGTTCTTGTTACCCTCAACACATCGAACTCATCAGAGACACACACCCAAACTTTGAGGTTGAATCCATCCATCAGCCTTCTGTCATTATATACAAGCTGGGCAAGAGTAGTTTTACCCAGACCACCCATACCCACTATAGAAATCACAGATAGTTGGTTGTTATACTTTTCTGACATAAGCCATTCAATGATGGTTTCTTTGTCATCATCTCTACCATATATTCCGGCTTCATCCACTAAAGATGTAGTTGGCAATCTATCTGGTATAGCAGTTCTCAATCCAGCACGACTATCACGTTCATTCAATCTTAATATGTCCCTTTGAGATGCAAGATATTCTAGATTTTCAAGGACATTTTTCATCTTGGATTCAATTTCCTTCTCAAATGAACTAATGGGAGTACTAAAGAAGTTTCGTACCTTGCCAATAGCACTGGTTTGACTCTCTTGTTCAGCTTCCAGCTTGCGCTTGCACATTTCATAATCAATCTCATCCAGGACATCCTCAGCATCGAACACGGCATCTTTGACCAAATCAATCCACTCCTCCACCTTCGGATTGGTGATCTGCTTTTGCTCTGCATCGTCAACCACAGCGTCGATGGATAACAGCACCATCTTCAACTTATTGAGCAATGTCTGGTTCAATTTTGGTTTTTTGAAGAAGTCCAGAACATCCCGAGAAGCCAGCCTATCGAAAGCCACCTGAAGAAAAGCAGAAAGAAAAGCACCACCAACCAAAGCTCCCGCCATAGATGAAGTTGTTCTGCTTGTACACATGCAAAACGAAAAGAATGAGATGAAAATGCAGAAGTGGGAAAGGTTATTGCAATGCAAGGAAGGTGTGACTTTGTGGGTTTGGTGAGTGAAGCAAGAAAATGCGTTCAGCTTTCAGCCATAACCGTCAACCACGCCAGACAAGATTTGACTTTCAAGTTCCCAGTTCTGACTTCTAACGTCGGGTCACAAAAAAATAAAAAAATCTAACTATCAAATTCATTCCATTGTTTTGCTTTAAAAAAAAAAAAATCATTCCATTGGTTTTTTTTTTTGGCCAAACATTGTTTTATTTCTGTTTTTGATTGAATTCTGGAGACTCACTACATCCTCATAAGATAAGAGATATATCTTTACTAATTAAACTAATCTTTATTGACTATAAGAGTGTAATACCTTACTTTTATATATGAATTTATGTATAGATACATTATGATTCAATTAATTATATCTTCCCATAAATTATTCATAAATATTAAAAAAAAAAGGTTACACAGTTATTTGATCTCTCTTGGTTGAAAAATAAATTATAGTATTTTTAACTTATGAATAAGGAAGAATCCTACAAAAAGAAATTTGAAATTACTAAATCCCAAATCCGATTTGATAAAGACATCTTAATAAGTTTTGATAATACTAGACTTGTAAATAATAACATATTTTTGTTACAATTTCTTACTTAAAATTTAGTAATTTTCAGTTTTTTTTATTGGATGGTTAATCAAACTTATGTCACCTCAAAGGCATGAGCGCTACCAAAATACAGCGTTTCTTTAAATGTCATGTCATTTTTTATGAAGCACAAAATTACAAGCCTTCAATTAAGCTTCAAACAAATGCAAGCCATGTTTCTTCTTCTTATTGGGACCAAGAGTTTGCGAGTAGATGGTCTTACTCTTAAATACTGCCATCCAAATAGAAGGCTATACATTTGTATAGGGGGCAAACTTTGATCTTCCAAAACACACACATCTCTTAAAACCTTCTATGGATTTGAAGTGTGAAACTAACAGTCCTAATAGGCTTTTGCAAGTTCCAAATGAACCATATTCATAACACTATCATTTTTCAAGAACCAAGTGTGGTGGTAGCAAGTTTCTACCCTTCTCTGGGTTAATAAGATGAGTCATCAGTCATCATCAACATCAAATAAAAATTTATAGTAAGCTACGTTGTTCACAAGTTGCGAGCAACAATAACAAGTCTTATTTTATTGACTGGGGTAGATTACACAGTCACATTAGACCACTGAGACTTATTTCTTAAATTCCATGTAATTTAGAAGATATTACTTTACTTACACAACAGCACCAAAACCACTATAGGGGTAGATGACAGAAGTAGTTATGTATGGTTATGAGTAGTTTCAAGTATCAGCTGTAGCTTTTGCACAGATGAGGGTTAACACTATTTATTATTAAGTGTATCTATGTGACAGTGACACAAATGAATAACACACCGATTTCACTTTCTCTGGAACCTCACAGCTATGAAAGAAGACGAGGTGTGAGAGTGAACAGATGTCTATATTTATATACAAAAAAATTTGTTTAAATTCTCTTCCGCAAGGCAACAAGTATTACCATGAAGATAGGAGAAATAAGAAAGGGAAGATAGGGCAGACTTGATCCAGTGCCCTTTCTTGCCCATTGAGGTCTTCCTGTAAAGGGTAGTTAGACTTGTTTTCTATAAAAGCATCAAAATAATTCCGGTACCCTATGTTCAATGACAAAGGAGATCCTGTTGTTACCTTCGTTTCCCTAGCCTGCCAGGTTTTAAGATCTTCTTGCTTCATGTTCATGTTCTTCTGGGCCCTAAAAATACTTCTCCTTCCCGACTAGAAGCTCTTCAGTCGAGGCAAAGGAGCACGCGGAAGACCATTAAGAGAGCAAAATGTATCTAGGCAAACCTTAACTGAAGTTCTCTTTAACTCAGTAACCAGTGGATTAGGCATGGGGCATTTAGGAAACAGAGTTCTTCAAAGTTGAAAAACAGGTAGTTCTCAGTGCAAGCAGAGCTACTTTATAGGATTTTCTTGGTCATTGTGGTCAACTAAATTCCTAGTTATGACAGACAGTTAAAATCTACTAGCGGCCTGTTTGGTAAGGCATTGGCGGGAGTAACTTATAGGTGTAATAGTTCGGTTTGTAAATTTGAGAACACAAACTTTTGACAACCTGATTTATGTGTGAAAGTTGTTTTTTTTAAGCATGACTGTAAAAACACCTAAAACTTATATGTAATTATGTTATTCTTATGCTTCTTTTTATATATTTTTTATGCTTCCCAATCAATTTTTACTTATTTATTTTTAATATTCTCTTAAGTAAAAATAATTTTTAATAATTTTTATAATATTTAAAATTTTTAATAATATTTTTTATTATATATTTACATAGATTATGGAGAGTATATCATCCAATTAATTATGTAATATTATTTGGTTCAAAAATTTTCACATTACTATGATTTCTAATTTAAATATATTTTATTCATCAACTATAACTTTTCCCAATTATAATAATTTAAAATTATTATATTTTATAAATTCATTTTTAATCATTTTATATTATTTAATTGATCATTATACAAACTAAACTTACTTTTTGATCATAATCTAAATAACTTTTTTACTTTACAAACTAAGCTTCATCAAAGTCAATCTAAATATAAATCATATTACCCAATCTAACTTTTCTAAAAGTCAAATTGAAAATAAGTTACTTTTTCTACAACTAATCCAAACAGACATTAGGATTATCATGAGATGGGAAAACGCAATAGAACAAGAAACTCATATTCAGTAGATAATTATGTTATATTATGCTATCACAAGTACTTGCAGAATTCCGGTATACAGCATTAGCATTTAGTTATTAAGTAATTCTTAATATATAAGGGTCCATTTGGACTAGCAATAGAAAAAACAGCTTATTATCAATTTGATTTTTGAAAAAGTTAGATTGGGTAAAAATTAAATTAGGTGATGCGAATTGTGTTTGGATTGAATTTTATAAAAGTTAGTATGTAAAAATTAGATTGGATAAAAGGTTATTTGGATTATGATTGAATAAAAGTAAGTTTGGTTCGTAAAATTACCAAAATAAGTATGAGTTTTATTAGACAATAAAAAAATGAATTTACATAATACAATAAACTTGAATTAGAAAGTAGAGTTTGTAAAATTACCAAAATTAGTATGAGTTTTATTAAATAATGAAAAATGACTAAAAAATGAATTTACATAATACAATAAATTTAAATTATTTTAATATGAAGAATCGAACTTTCATAACTGAAATATATTTTAAAACATTAGAGATATCATAAAAAAATTATTGTAAATATAAAGTGAAACATAATTTCAATGGATAAAACATTTTTAAATTAAAATTCATGGTAATGTGACAAGCTTGAAATCATTGGTATAAGCCAAATTCACAAACCACTAGAAGGTTGTGTAGTTCTTTTTTGTTTGGTTTAATGAAAAGGAGTTTCTTATTACTCAAAAGATATGTACAAGTTTCAAAAGACCAAAAGAATTAGAAGAAGTCGGGAAACCAAAAGTGAGATTCAACCTGTATCTAGGTGACTAAACCTTTCATTAACAAAAACAGTATAATGAGTTAAGGCAATAGCTTCATTAACTGTACAAAGCGTTTCTTGTCCTTGTAATGGTTTGGGAAACGATGAAAAGAGCAATGTTAGAGGAGATAAACAGCTGAAAAGAAGGAGGACAGGGAATGCTTGTTTTTTTAAATCCCACTTTCTCCTCCCCTTTCATCAGAGCACTCATCATAACATCCAAAACAACAGTCTTTGCCTAATACTCATCCGGTCCTTATTATAAGACCCAATTTGACTTTTTATTTGGTCCTAATTATAAGACCCAATCCATTTTCTCTCTTATATTTATGCATTTTTTTCCAACATAATCCTTCTAATAATGATAGTTTTAGCCAATATACTTAATTAGCAAGGATATTTTAGGAATAACAACACTTATTTATTAGAAATAACCAACTTAACTTACTTCCTTAATCTCCTCAAATAAGTCAATTGGGTCTTATAATTAGGACCGGAGGAGTAGTTCAAATAGGTAAGAAAAATGGTATTGACACAAGTTTTAGACTCTTAGTTAATTGCGTGAAGTTCTACAATGAAACTCTTTTCTTTAATTAAAAAAAAAAAAGTAAATCAGACCAACATCATATGTATTGGTTAAACTGTTGAAACCAAAGATGTCACAGATGAACAATACCAACGACAGAGATCAGCCAAGAACAGAGGACCAAAAACATTAAACAAATTAGCAAAGGCACAGATGAACAACACAAACAACTCCGCATGGAAGGAACAATTAGATCGCATTGAAACTTTAGGGACTCCAACAGAAAGAGCAAGAAAAATTTTTTTTCTGCCAACCTATACCAGATTGGCGACAATGAAGGTTGACAACAGTAGATCGAAGAGTGTATTCCACTGGGAGGCCAAGATCTCCAAGCACAACTTACATGCAAAGGTCAGATAGCAGGTATCAGCTGGGAGACAGTGACTACAGATCAGACAAGGGAAAAGGTTTGGAGTGGCGATGAAGGAGTAACAGAAGGAGATGACCCTACACTAGACACAACGCGAGACAAAGCTCATGACGGCGAGGGAATAGAACTGATGGCCAAGATGCAACGAAGCTAATGGCGAGGACACAACGGAGTTGTGATGTCTAACGGCAGAGAAGAATGAGCGTGGGAGAGAACGAGAGCTTTGAGTGAATAATGAGGGAATAATAAGGGACGAGTGAAAGAAAAATGATGTGACAAGTAATTACTATTCTGACGGTCCACCAACCATAAGCATAATTTAAGTTCAAAAAGCATCTCAAAAACTTAAAGAAAATCGTGCTTTCAATACCCCTTTTGGCTCATAAGTCAGATGGGCTAAAAACTCATCCAAATAGACTCTAATTTTTTAAAAAG